GCAGGTGGTTGCAGCTCGGACTTGATCAGCACCAAATCATTGACGGCCACGTTAGGTGCCGTCCGCCGCCACCGTTTCAGCTGTTGCAGGTGGTGGACGTATTCAGACGACCATCTCCGCCAGAAATGGTCGCGCATGGCAGTGGTCAGCGACCAGCGAGTCGCCATGTGACCGCCGCCGTGAACGGCCGTCGGGGCCTCCGGAACCGCGGTCAACGACTCCCCTATCAGCAGATGACCCGGAGTTAAGGCAGCGAGGTCCGCGGGGTCGTTGCTTAGGGCGTACAGCGGTCTGGAGTTGAGGCAGGCTTCAATCTGCGCCAGCAGGGTGGTCAGCTCCTCAAAAGTGAGGCGCGCGTCCCCGATCACCCTTCTGAGGTGGTGTTTCACTGCCTTCACTCCGGCCTCCCACAGTCCCCCAAAGTGGGGCGCCCCCGGGGGGATGAAGGCCCATTCGGTTCCGTCGTTGGCAAGGCTCGCCGCACATTCTGAGTAGAAGACGGAGGCCGCTCGGAACATGGCTCTCAGCTCCTTGGCTGCACCCTGGAAGTTGGTGCCATTGTCGCTGAGGACGCGCCGGCAATGACCTCGGCGGGACGTGAACCTCCGAAACGCCGCTAGAAAAGAGGCAGAAGAGAGATCAGATACGGCCTCCAAATGGACGGCCCGGGTCGACAAACAGACAAACAGGCATATATATCCTTTAATGGATTTGTGCCCACGCCCCTTCGTGGTACGAATGGCCAGCGGACCGGCGTAGTCGACGCCGGTGAATAGAAAGGGGCGACTAGGTCGCGTGCGTTCCGCCGGCAAATGCCCCATCTGCTGGTTGGCGACGACTCCCCGGAACCGAGTGCAGCGCACACAGCCATGGATGACCGAGCGGACCAAGGAATTCGCCTGCAGAATCCAGTATCGCCTCAGGAGCAGGCTCCGGGTTAACTGAGGCCCACCGTGTAGTGAGTTAGCGTGCGCTTCACGCACGAGGAGAAGAGAGAGATGGCTCTTCTTCGCTAATATGATGGGGTGCTTCTCGTCGAACGAGAGGAGCGCTTGCCGAAGGCGTCCTCCCACTCGCAGCAGCCCGTCCTGGTCCAAGAACGGGCGGAGTGACAGCAGCGGCGATCGCGCCGGGAGCTGCCTGTCGTTCCTCAGGCAGGCTATCTCCTGCGAGAAGTCGTGTGCCTGAGCGATCCGCACCCACCGCTCTCGGCTCATGGCAATTTCCCCTGCAGTCAGGTAACCTGAGTACTTCCTGGGATGGCGCGCATTATGCGCGAACCTGAAACAAAGGGCGGTTGCCCGCAGAAGTCGGAACATGTCCGAAAATCGGTGCAGAATCTCGTTCTCCTCCTCGAGCCGGGCGACGAAGGCCGCACGCGGACGAAGCTCCTCAGTCACGGTATCGTCCCCGGCCTGACCAGGCTCGGCTAGTAGATAGCCCGCTCGGGCCAGCCAAGGCGGGCCAGTCCACCAGAGATTGAGGCATGCCAACGCTGCAGGCGTTATGCCTCGTGTGGCCGCATCCGCTGGGTTTTCCCTCGACGGCACATATCTCCATTGCGGCGGAGGAACCAAATCCTGTATCTCTGAGACCCGGTGGGCCACGAACGGCTTCCAGCGCGCCGCGTGTGAACGGATCCAGGCTAATGCCACCGTTGAGTCGGTCCAGGCGAAGGTCCGAGTGTCCTCCAATCCCAGCGCGCGTGCAGTACTGCGAAGGAGACGGGCCAGCAGCACTGCCCCGCACAATTCCAGTCTCGGGATGGAGACTTGTTTGACCGGCGCCACCCTGGTCTTAGCGATCAAGAGATGGACTGAGACGGCACCTTCGTTGGTCGTACAACGCAGGTAAATTGTCGCTGCGTAGGCGCGGTTGGAGGCATCCGAGAAACCATGTAACTCGGCCTGTCCCTCCGGCCCACGATAGCCCACGTAGCGCGGGATGCGCTGCAATTCCAAGCCGGGTAAGTCGACGGCGAACCCCGACCATGCCGCCTGAAGAGGGTCCGGCAAGGGCTCGTCCCAGGAAAGTCCGGCCTTCCAAAGGTCCTGTATAAAAATCTTGCCGAATATT